GAAAGGCTCAATAACACGAATGAGGTTTTGTTCCAATAAGTTATCATACAGTTTTCCCAAATGTGTATTGATGATGGGGTCATCCCTGAGTTCCACTTTATAATCTTTCAGAGCCTATGGCAGATCAAATTCAATCATTACTGAATGCAGAAGGCAACCTCACAACCATCCTGAACATGTTACCTAAAGTTATCCCATTCATGTCTATTTTTAGAATCATCTTTAATATGATTACAAACTTCATTAAAAAAGGAATTAAATATGGGACTAAAATGGTTATCTCTGACTAATGAAAATCACACTCAAGACACACAGACCTATGAGCGTCCAACAGACACGTTCAAGTGGCTATTTGAATTTTTGCAACAATCATACAGAGTATGTCCTAGTGATGTATATTTCTTTAGAACTAAAGGAAAAATGGTGCTTCAGAGGGGGTGTGGGCATACTCACTGAACCTGTTGTCTCTTTTGAGAAGATGCCAAGAGGGGCAGCAAGCATGCCTACACCTTCTTAAAACCACCATTTCCACTTTAGAGCCAAATAGCTTCTCATAGTGAGGTAGGTGTAATCAAACTGAACTTTAATTCTGTAGATAAGCCCCTAGTTCAGGTCAATTAATCAGTTGTGCAAATCAAGATATTCAAAGCTTTCCCTCAGATATATCTGTATACAGATATAAACATTTTTTCCAGGTTGGAGAAGGGGACATTTGAACATAGTACTTTACTTTCCAGCAACAGAAATTATTAAGTTTTCTTTCTGTTCACATTGTTTTTCTAGTTTGGTTTTGATTTGTGCATAGTGAGCCTGCAACATCTGTAAAACAGGTTATCTTCAGAATATTTTTATTGCCACATGCTTTGACCTATCAAACAATACAAGGATCCAAATTATTGATTCTTTCATCGAAGTTTCATCGAAGAAAAGTCGGCACTCCAAAGTGCACCTTCTAAAGAAATCAGACTCTTCAGTTATTAACATTGAAACTGTGGTATATGAAGAAATACTCTTGATGTTAAAAAGTGTGTGTGAATCTCTAAAGAACAATGAGACGAGGGGACAATTCAGGGAAAAAGAGGAAGATGATATTCAAGAAATGGATGAGAAAGTAGAAGAAGCAGTGGAAGGGAAAAATCAAAATGAGATACAAGAAGCTAAAGACTAAAGGAGAGAAAGGATTAAAAAGTAGGAACCAATCAGATAACTCTTCAAAAGCTTATAATAGAACAAAGAGAAAAGAGAAACATTTCTCAAAAAAAGAGAAAGATTTAAAGAAAAAAAAGAAAAATATTTTTTTAAAAAAGGAGGTTTTGGTGATAGGTGTTGAAATAATACAGCAGAAAGAGACAAAGGGTATTCTGAAGGGAATGTACAGTAGACACAAAAATATTAAAAAGAGCTATAAGACTCCAGGAGAGAGAGATAAAAGGCTGATTAAAAAGTCAATAAATGATGGGATTTTAAAAAGGTTAAGAGATAGTGGATAATGAGAAAATATTTTAATAAAATGGGAAAATACTAACAGGGAAAATAGTATATATATATAAAAGTTAAGACTAGTAGATGGAAATTTAGGATTATGTAATTTAATTGTATTATTAACATTAATAGTATGTTAAAGTATATTGTGAATTTAAAATATTAAGGATTGGAAAGCGTGGGGATTTTGAGATACACTCCCGGGATTGATTATATATTGTTAATACTCAGCATTATTAGTAATCCTACATATTTGGCATATTGAAGTTATGGTGGAATGAGTAATTCTTAAAATATTAAATAATAGTATTTAGTAGGGGATAACAAATACATAACATACAGAAATGTCATTAATGTTTAAATGAATCAATGGGAAAATGATAAAGGATTATAAAAAGAGAATAGTATTGTTGAAGTTAGAAGATTAGGATTACACATACTTATTTGTATTATTATTGTGAACACTGTTTAAAAGACTTGACCCAGTCAATACACTGTCCACAAAACATGTATGGTGTGAAAAGAAAACTGCAAATAAAACATGTTAAAAAAAAAGAAAGAAACTGTGGGCTTAGTAATCACATCCCATTCCACCCAGTCCCAAATGGGTTCAGCAAGCGTTTCTTAAACACTCAAAGGCTGGGTATACTGAAGACAACTCTCCCTTTTTTCTTTAATGCTTCTCAGTGTAGAAGTTCCTTTTCTAAAACTAAGGATTAATCTAACCCAAAGATATTCAACCTGTTTTCCTTATTATGGTTGTTTACCTCTTTGAAATCATCCAATGATCGATTCTTACTGGCTTGAGCTACACACTTCAGTGCTTCTGTCTGTAAAACAGTGTAGAGCCAACATTTATATTCTTCTGAACCATTAGATACAAGTAGTGCTTGTAATGTTCACATGTGAGAAAAGTAATTTAGTTGGACATAATGTAATTCAGGAAGGATACTTGATGAAAATACTAAGACTGCTTTAATTCTTCTGCCCTCACTTAACTCAAGCAGTTGCTAAATCACAGAAGCATTCATATTACGTTTTTAAAAAACACTATCAAGACAAAATAACCCCAACATAGAAGCAGAAATTTAGGCTGCTACAACAAAGTACCCGAAAGCCCACAAGTATTCTCTGCAACTGAACTCCATCAATGAGGATCTAAACCAGGGCTGTCAAACTCACAGCCCATGGGTCGGATGCGCCACACGCTGGCCACGCCCACGCCTGATTTAGCAAAGGGGAAACCAGTCCCAATATGTCACATGACGCCACCATGATGACGCAAGTTTGAAACCCCTGATCTAAACTCATTAAAAAACAGAAGTGCTAGCTAGTATTGGAAGTAGGAAAATGGCCCAGATGAGCTGACAGGATAATCTATTTGTTTGGTATTTTGTTCTCATTTTATCTATATATTATCCTTCTCTTATTTCAATCTGCTGCTCAATGTTAACTATCCCTATTGGTCCCTTGAACATTAGACAGCTCTAACATCCTGAAAATCCTAAAATTCAATCTAATTTAACCTCTCAAGATAAAAGTCAAAATCTGCCCCCCCTCGCCCCCCCAATGCAACAAAAGGAGTCCAGATTCTATCTATATCACAAAGCAAACATATGATTCCACCCGGAGAAGAAAACTGTAAATAAAACTAACAAGACAAATCCTACTTACTTTACTCACACCTAAAATACATATGACCATCTGAATTGGGATTTGGAAACAAAACTTGAAAGGCAACCATTTCTAGAGCTGTCCACCTCTCATAAACAAGGAACCAGGTGATTAGAATGCTCCCTTAGCTTCCCACCCTGAAGCAGCATTTTTTTCTCCAGAAAAATACATCCTCAGTGAGGGCTGAGCAAGTCAAACAACTCTGAAAGGAATTTACAACAGACCTTGTTGCCAGGTGATGCCGACTGACTACACAAACAGTACTTTCTATCTTTGAATATTAACCATCTATAAACAAGAACGTGGACTTCTTACAAAATAGTTTTTGAAACTCTTGGGCAAAACTTGCACATATGTTACAGTTTCCACATTAAAAGACTGGCAATAGCAGTGAACAGCCCACAGCTAGTCATGAACGGAATCTATTGGGGAAACCAAATTAAGACTAATAAGATCAAATAAAGGGAGATCTATAACATCACATTCCACAAAAAAGAAACCTAAACAGGCAGTTATATAATTCAAATGAATCAAGCTGTTTAAAGTTACACTTATTAGAGTTAATAATGGGTGCTGGTTTACTAGAAGAGCTATTACTATATTCTGACATTTAGCCATTTCTTTCAAAGTGCTGTTAAAGAGCATCCAAGTGCGGCAGGATATAAAATTATTTTGCTGTCATTTAACCAATCTACAATTCCTTCCATGTTTTGGGCCCTTTGAAGGCCCTTTTCAAATATATCAACTATGTGTTTTTCAGGATGGAAAATGAGCGCATTCGGAGATTGTCTTGCCCAATGCATGCATTGGCAGGAGAGGTGGGTTGCTGCAGGTTCGGCCCGGATCAGCCAAACTGGTAGCGGTGGCGGGAAGCTCCGCCCACCCGGGGCACGCCCGAACTGGTAGTAAAAAGATTAGCAACCCACCTGATTGGCAGCATGCCAAATTATAAAAACTATGGCAACCCATTAACTCTAGCATCCTTGTCAAGGCAAAGTTGAAATACTCCACCTAAAATAATGCCAAAAACACATGCTATAGGTGAGGCCTTAGAAAGAGTAGTAATTAACTCTTTGGAGTCTTACCTAATTGTGAGCAAGAAGAAATGCTGAGAACACTTGATGAACTTAAAAGCTGGCAGTAATCTGTCCAGCAGCCAAAACACTCACTTGGTATCCTTGGATTTGACAACAATGCAGAAAGCCTTTATAAATCTCAAGAGCCCTACAATTTAACTCCCTCACCAAAGCAGAGAAGTACTTCACACTTTAGCAACTCTAAACCAGCCTAATTTGCCCTAATTTTGCCAATCTCTAGATTCCAGAGATCTGCTCCATTTTGACTCATCTGACTCAGACCAGGAAATGGAACAAAAGGAAACTGCTGCATCAAGTCACACACCAGTCAAGGCCCCTGGCATTCGAGTTCAATTGGGCTCAAAGGTTGTAATCCAATGACATAAGATGAGGGATGTTACTTGTTAACAAACTCCATTTTGATGACTTACCAAATTAATGCTGCTGGCCCATCTTTCTGCATCCAGGAGGGAGCACATGCCAACTGACTCCCAAGATACCCAGGATACATAAAAGCCATCTAATGAATTACTGCTGGTGAGGCAGAACAAATTTGTATCTGTTTTGAGCAGAATTTGCAAACTTTTTAAACAGGAGTCAGCTAGGATTGGAAACATTTTCAGGAACAAAAAAAAGTAGTTCAGGATTTCTATACCTGTCTGCCTGCATACCGCAGTGCAAGCTTCCCACTCACCAATGCTTGCACATCTTCAGGTCTGTAAAAAAGCAAAGAGATATTGATTTACTGAGACCCTGAACTCAGGCTACAAATGAACCTCACTATATAATCACTGCTTTCCAGAAACGTCTGCATTCCACTATTTTAGCCAACTGCAAATGCCAGAATTATAAAAAGAACAATAAATATAAACAAAAGCACAAAGCAGATTCCTGCCATGTTTCAACATCAAAAACCAAATGACAGTATTGATAGAAGTCATTGGACAAAAATTTTTCTAGAGCTTTCTTTTTCAAATGCCTGCTCATCCTGGGGAAGAGAAACCAAGAGAACCTTTACTTTCTCTCAGCTGTTCAAAATTGAGAAGTAATAAAAAGTTATCTTTCAAGGACCTGCATTTGTTGTCAATAGTCAACTTAGCTTCCTCAGATCAAATCCTGTTTTGACTAGGGAAGCATGTTATAAAAACATTCAATTTTGTTAGATGGCAAGTAACTCAAATATACTGGCCTTTTCACTCTTAAGGATTTGCTTCTAACAAGCACTGCCCAGCTTTCTTAAAGTTAGAACAGAGCTGAAATAGGTAATATTTTGCCAGTGATAATGCAATTCCAATATGTAGAAGTCTAAACAGGAGAGGGGCAAATATTATATCCTTCTTTGCCCCCTTTCCTGGCTTTTAATTCTCCATTTTTCCTCCTTTAGTATTCATATCTCTTCAACCACCATCATAATTTGAAATGAAACTTATTCATACAAGAGTTTTGCAAACTGCAACATGTGATCTGATCAGAGCAACTATCCTATGTGCAGGCATAAAAAAGGAAACAAGTACATGTTGCATTCCTTATGTGATAGAATAAAAATCACATACAAGTTTAACATGATCTTGCATAGCAGCATATACTTCAATGAAGTGATGGCTTTGGGGCTGTCAATAGAATCATAACCTTCGAATGCCTCATAAAAATAAGAATATGCTGTCTTCCAGTCCTTTTCTTCTGCTGCATGGATAATACCTATTAAAGGTGAAATAAAAAAGAGGTCTGACTATAACAGAGGTACCTGGGGTACAAAATAAGGGAAAACATTGCTGCCAAGTCCTATTTATTTCTCCAAGCCAGAAAATTCTTGAACTGCATTTTTTTAATCCCCTGCCCCTGGGTTGTGGGGTAGGGCAAGGAAAACTAATTTTATGTATATGGCTAGAATTTTTTTCTAATTCCCACAAAATTCATTTTCATATACTCATGCAAAATAGCAAATGTAATTTCTTCCAATATTTGAAATTTCACCTAATTTTTTTTTATAACAGACTGAATGAGATTCAAAACAACACCAACTATATTAAGTATCTGCTAAATCACAGAAATCATGTCAAGGAAATAATCAAGTGATGTTCAACTGTATAATTCAGGATAGAGTTTAACAAAAGAACATTATCAAACTATTCAGTTCTGTAACTAATTGCTAATGACTGCATCTAAACACTTATAAAAAACCATATCTGTTCTTGTAATCACTCAAACATTGGTCATTTTTCTATTTTGCATGAATAATAAAATAAAGCAATTCTTTTCAAAATGCTACAAGAAATCCAGAAATTACAGGCAGTCACTGGGTTACCACTATTCGTTCAGCAACTGCTCAAACTTACAATGGCTCTTAAGGAGGGGACGTATTACGGACCCTCAGAGTTCTAGCCACTAAAATGTTCCCACAGTACTGCCTGAAATTATAATACTGCTGCAAGGCCCAATCACGTGAGCACAATTTCTGATGTTCCCTGTGACTTCTCACAAGCAAAATCAAAGTAATCAGAAGTCATGGTCACATGAGTCCCTTGCTTAATAATGGTTGCTGTCACTTAGCAATACAATCATACAATATCATGTTGCTTACTAATGGCAATCTCTGTCTCAACTGCCATTGTAACTCGAGGACTAACTTACCATTCAAATCAAATATTCTCAGCTTACAATAATTATTCAATAATCTTTGGAACATACAGTACATAGTACAATTTTCCCTAGACAGACTGCTTTAGTGTGATTCTGTCTTATAAACGTTTTTGCAATATTAGTATTAGGTTTTTATATAAGATTTTTAAAAAATTGGACTATAAGATGCACTCCCCCCCTCCCCAAATGGGTGGAAACATCTGCACATCTTATAAAGCCTCACCCACCTGATGGTCACCACTCTTCGGCCTCCACCTCCCAGCAATTTCCCTTCTTGCAGCAAACAGCCTGGTCAGCCTGATTTAGTGCAAGCAGCTGATTGATGTTTGAGCTGCCTCCCAGAATACCACCAATCAGCTGTTCCAGGCTGCAGGGATCGTCATCACCCATTGGCACCAGCGTCGCCCGGTGCCACTGCCACTGCCCCCACGTTCCCCATTTCTGGCATCTGCATACCCCATTTTCGGCCTCTGTGTGTTCTGATTTAGGCCCATTCCAGCCGGTGGGGATAGGCAGCAGCAGTAGAATCCCCGCTGCCTGGAACGGGCCGAAAATGAGACACGCAGAGGCTGAAAATGGGACACCAGAGGCCAAAAATGGAGTGCACAGAAGCAGCAGTGGCGATAGATGGCAATGGCGGTGATGATCTCTGTAGCCTGGAACAGCTGATGGGTGATATTCTGGGAGACAGATCCAACTGCTTTAGCAGCTTGTGCTAAATCAGGTTGGGCTGAAGCTGACCAAGCTGTTTGCTGCAAGGAGGCAAATTGCTGGGAGGCAGATATTATTTTCTTGTTTTCCTCCCCAAAAGCTAGGTTTTTATAGTCCAGAGTGTCTTATAGTCCGAAAATACAGTAACTCAAGGTAGTATACATGCCTAATATATAGGTAAAACACTGAGGGGGAGTGACTGGCCCAAAGTTATCCAGCCAACTTTCATGCTTAGAGAATTTCCCCCACCCCCACCTTCTGGTTTATAGGCCAGCACCTTAATGACTATCCCAAACTGGCTTTTTCTCTTTTTTTTCTGTGACCTAGTTTGTTTTGCATGACATTATAAGCCAATCTTTCCCCATTTTGTGCTCTGATTGTTATAAGAATGCAAGAATTCTTATGGTCCTGGACAGCTAGCAAGGTGGCTGGGGATATATTGCAGATTAAAATAATCCAGATACTCAAGACTTGAAAACACTGGATTTTATTTCTCTGATTGTGCAAGTACTGAAGACCCAAGATCAAGGAAGGCATTCATAATACAAAAAAGCATAAGGCTTTACCTGATTGCATATCCAGTGCTGCCTGCAATTTGGGTGGACAATAGATTGCATTGGCTGTGGTTCGGGCAGAGGTTAATGCTGCTCTGGCTTTTGGCAGATTGCTCAAAGCATGGTACGTTTTGCTCTCTAATAGCTGCACTTCCACCAACAAGGCCTTGTCATCCATCTTCTTCAACTCCCGCAAAAGCTGTGATCCTGATAAAAGCAATGTGATAGTGGCATTTACACCATGTTATAGGCCTTCCTCTGAATCCTTTAACTTGATCAGAAAAAGAAAAATCTAATACATTACTTTGATAAAGGTATAGGAAGAGTGAAAACAGTAGATACAAGCCAATACACTAGATTCAAAAACTAGTATTGCTCTTTTTCAATACCATGTTTCCCCAAAAATAAGACAGGGTCTTATTTTCTTTTGACCCCTGAAATAAGCGCTTGGCCTTATTTTCAGGAGTTCTTATTATTTTTGAGGTGCAGGAGGCAGCGAGCGTGGTCACCTCATGGCTGCTGCTGTGTTGCAGTATTTTCGGGGAGAGCTTATTTTCAGGGGAGAGCTTATTTTAGCGCATGAGGTCAAAAGCCCGATTGGGCTTATTATCCAGGGAGGTCTTATTTTCAGGGAAACAGGGTATCAGTATAATACTCCCAAAGCTTCCAAATACATCACATGTGCCTAACTAATGGAATTTGCCATTAAAAAGATCTTAACAATATTACTCTTCACAACCTGGAGAACCCAGCACAGTTGCCAGTTACTTAACTAAGTCACTGTGAATTTGGTTTCTAAATTGTATCTGAAAATTTCAGAACTTTTATTTTGTTTCAAGCTTGCAACAAACACATTGGGTTCTGGACATTTTGCCAAACCATTTTGGATTGGCTACAGTTTAATAGGGAAAAAACCCATACCTTTTTGTTCTGGGTTTTAGCTAAAACTATATTCTGAGAGTGTTTTCATGGGATAAGTAGTGCAAACTGGTGTGTATCACCTTTTTTCTCCCCTCAAGAACTTCCAGTGCAGTATATCCCTCCATCTTGCTCACCCCCAATCTTTCTAGCACCTTCCCTGCTCCCCACTCAACTGCCACATTGTCCTAGTATAACATACCTTGATGATCCCACCACATGATCTGAACCAGCACCTCCCTCTTCCAGTCTGCCATGTTTCCCAGTATGGGAAGCCTCAGCAGCCTACCTTTCCACAATCTTTCCAAGATCTTCCCCTCTCCTCGTAGCCTCTATAAACACCAATGACCTTGATTTTTCTCCACTATTCACTCTTACAACCTACCCCTGAAAACACTTCAGCTTCTAACAAAGATATTTCAAACCATTACCAGATCAAACAAAGAACTATTTCATTCCATGTCCGGAGCAAACACATTCTCATTTCATGCAAAAATCACTCCAAGCTAGCTATTCTATGCATATATCATTTTACACATCTCTAGAATAAACCTAATTAATATTAGGGTGAGTATAGGAAGTCAATTTACCTAACTGCAATGCTTCTTGATACCTTTTTGTGTCAAAATACAAAGAAACCAGCCTTGCCTAGAAGAGGGAAAAGCAAAGAATTGTCATGAAAACTACTTTATGATTTTTAGATATTTAACTAGAGCTGATTGGTATGAAATATGAAGCAGACAAGACTCCTGGGAAACTACTCATGTTTCAGGAGTAGCAAGAAAACAGAGAAAAAAGATAGTAGAAAGTGCATCAATAATAATGCAAAAGAAATTTGTGGAACAAGTACAGGTAGTCCTTGACTTATGACCACAATTGAGCCCAAACTATCCATTGCTAAGTGAGACAGTTAAGTGAATTTTGCCCCATTTTACTACCTTTCTTGCTGCAGTTATTAAGTGAATCACTGCAGTTGTTATGTTAGTAACATGGTTGTTAAGTGAATCTAGTTTCCCCATTGACTTTGCTTGTCAGAAGGTCGCAAAAAGGNCCATTTGTCTGAAATGGTATAGGGTTTCCTGCCTAGGCAGGGGGTTGGACTAGAAGACCTCCAAGTTCCCTTCCAACTCTGCTATTGTATTGTATTATTGTATAACTCAGGATAAACTTTAACAAAAGAGCATTAGCTAACAATTCAGATAAAATCTGTATCTAGCTGCTAATGACTTCAGCTTACCACTTGTAAAAAGAAACATATTTTTTTGTTGTAATCTCCCAATCATTAGTCAGATGTTTCTATTTTGAATGAATTACTCATATAGAATAAGGCAATTTATTTTCAAAATGCTAGAAGATATCCAACAGTTATAGGTAATCCTTGGGTTACCACCACTTGTTCAGCAACCATTCAAACTTGGAATGGTGCTGAACGAGGGGGACTTAAAAACAGGTTGCTGGAGTTCGAGCTGCTTCAAAATTCCCATCATCATGCTTATGATTACAACATTGCAGCAAGCTGCAGTCATGTGACCATCATTTCTGATGTTCCCTTCCAACTTCCCACACACAAAGCCAATGGGGAAACTGACAGGGAGTCAGAAGTCATGGTAACATGAGATCCTCACTTAATAATGGCATCTGGGACTGCCGCCACTAAGAAATGTAGTCATGTGATGTTATGCTTTACAACCACATTGCTTAACAATGGGAATTTCAGTCTCAATTGTCATTGTAACTCGAGGACTACCTGTACCATCCAAAGCAGATATTCTCAACCTACAGTAATTCTGAAAAAGATTTATTCAAACTTCCTGCCTCCTGTTTTCCCCACAACCACCACCGCCCTGTGAGGTGGGCTGGACCAAGGGAGAGTGACTGGCCCAAAGTCACCCAGCCAACTTTTATGCCTATATAGAAGGCTGAGAACTCACATTGTCCTGGCTTGTGCAACTCCAGTTGACTCAAGATCAAGGCACTCATAATAGGAAAAGCACAGAGGCCTTACCTGATTGCATATCCAATGCTGCCTGCAACTTGGGTGGACAATAGATTGCATTGGCTGTGGTTCGGGCAGAGGTCAATGCTGCTCTGGCCTTTGGCAGGTTGCTCAAGGCATGGTAGGTCTTGCTCTCTAGTAACTGCACTTCTACCAACAAGGCCTTGTCATCCATCTTCTTCAACTCCCGC